TCAAATTCAAAGCATTATATTCAAGACATGCCCCCTCCTTAAGGATGCAAAGAAATCAAAACAACCATGCTTATATAATTGCAAGCAAAAGCTCTGTGCTAAACATAATATGCATATTACGCAAGATGGCTAGAAACGAATTTAAGGGTCAAATACTTGAAGCCATCACCACTGAACACGTGTCCACACGGCTGCTCTGGTTTCTACAGAACCAAATCCAAATCACGAAAGTGATGAAGGTATATATATTTGTATCTCAAGGACACTGCTATGCACTGGACATATATATGTATGGATGGATGGATGGATGGATGGACGGATAATAGATAGATAGATAGATAGGAACAAAAGGAGAGAAAGAGAGGAAGAAGAGGAAGAAGGGGAGGAGAAGGAGAGAGGGGGAGTCTGGAGAAAATCTTGGCCTTGCTATTTTCAGTCTCACTAATTTTTTTCTCTGCTTTTGGTCTAATTCACTCTACACAATTTATCTAAATGTCATAATGACTGCCACATCCTAGTTAGTAAGTCACCTCTGTCGATAGGAAACAAGTCATTTAATTCTGTGGTCCTTGATGAGGGTTCAGCTGCCGGAGACCTTCCAGTGCCAGTTCCTTGACAAAGTCGAGACCTCCAGCGGGCACCTGCAAAGCAGGGATCACACAGGATGGGTGTGCGACCTCTACTCTACTCTCTATTAATCACAGCTTTCCAGATATTCATTGTGCCATTGATAAAGAATGGTTGGGAACCTGAATGATGAGAACTGAAAGTAGTTTAGGAATCAGAGCCCAGGATGGAAGGCCCCCCTCCAGGGTTGAAAGGGGAAGTAGAAGCCACCACAGAGATTTGCATCAGTCCCCTACCGCCTGTGTGGCAATGCTCACCCACCAGGACAGGAGGGGAGCGCTGCGTGGGCCTCAGTGTGTGGGAAAACATTAGGCGAAGGCCCTGTGTGTGCTGGACTGGCTCTAGATGGAGATATTGTAAGTGTGGGTCCTGTTGTCCCGTAGACAAGTGAACAATTCTGTGAAAAATTATACCTAATCAAGAACACCTAGTGATTGATCTTTTTACTTCCTTTTATGTGCTTTAAAAAAGTTGATTTCCCAAGAGGGTTGTGGCCAGACATGGTCAAACATGTCTGAATCTGCAATTAAAATAGAAACCTCACTGTATCTAAGAGTTTCATATGTAATTGCAAAAGTGTATAAGAAAGCAAAAAACATTTCTCTGTGTCAGAGGAGCCTTGCTCCCCTGGCCCACCAGAAGGACCTCTGGTGTGTCTGTTGTTTGTCTCTTCGCCCACGTCGTTTCCTCCTGCAGGAATCTCCTGGACCCGTTGCTGCCGGATCACAGCACTCAGCCTCAGAGACTTCTACATTTTATTTTAATAAAACTCAAGGCCATCAAAATTGTGTGGGCTGTCTCTGCTTTTAAAATCTGCTGACCTGCCAAACTCATTTGACCGCTACAGGAAAACGTAATTTTGACAAGGCCCCTGGGATATTATTTAACAAAAACTTGAGAAGATTTCCACAGTATAATGTGAAAGGCACAAATACCTCAGCATCGCTCATGCTCTACTTGTTCACGCCTGCTTTCAAGTCTAGCTGCAACTGTTAGACTGAGCATGAGGTGTTGCTAGTCACCCCAGAATCACCCCGAGGCACCAAACAAAACCGAGACCCTAAGGAAACATCCCTAGAGCAGTGTGTGCAGCGGTGCATCTCCTCAGCCTTTCCCTCACTCATCCAAGGGACGCGGCTGAGGACCTTACATCCCAAGCCCACACTGAAGCCTGGAAGGAAGGGAACCAGAGATGCACAGTTGGTGCTGATGGTGCAATGGGGCCGCCTTCTGCCACCCTTGAACTGACAAAAGACACAGAACCCAGTGCTTGTGTTGCATCGAAGGTTTCGTTGCTGAACCCAGGACTATCTGGCTTCCGAGGAGGCTGCATTTTCAGAGTGCATTCTTCCCGCTGACAATGTAGATTTCCTGTGTGATGCTACGGTTCTGCAAAATCTTACCACTGGTAAAAATGGGCAAAGTGTACATGGGAACTAGTACTTCTCACCAGCTGCATGTGAACAATACAAATACCACAATTAAAAACTCTATTCTATGCCACTAATCAGGGATACAAAAGCAATTTTTCAAGATTTTCATAAAACAGAAGTTGGTTCTAAGGACAGCTTACAGTATTTTTATTTTTTTCATTTATAATCTCCTTGGTACTACGGGCAGTAAGGCCCTCGCTGCTGTTCACATTAACTGCAGCAGGAGCTTCCTGCCTGCTCTCCCAGCCTATCCTTTAATCACAAATCTGGTTATCTTTGATTAGCATAAAATCCTCCAACGATTTCCCAGGGATAAGGTCCAAGCTGTGTCTCAGGCACCATCACCACCTCCTGCCTACACCTCAGCCTTTGATGTCTGCGGCCGGCCCCGAACACGCTCTCCTCTCTCAGCCCACACCTCCCAGAACGCCCTGTGCTGCGATCCTCTGGGCAAAGACTTGCTCACGCTGCACCTTTATGGCACCCGCTGTGTCTTCGCCAAGGCTTCTCTACCTTCCCTATCAGAGCAGGGCCCTTGTCCCCCTCTTCACGACCCTGCTGACCCTTGTCCTTGTGCACCAATGACTTAGCAGGCTTGGGCCTCACAGCTTGTGACTCTTGAAGACCCAGTGTCTGCTGTTACTCTGACATCTCAGCACCCGCACTCCCTGCCTGGCACCTGTGTAGCACTCACGGGTCTGCTCAGAGCCTGACCCCAGAGAGCTTCCACGGCAAGCGTAAAATGTATCTATGGCAGAAACCAGGGCCTTCTTAGGAAAAAAAGGAACTGATTTTCTTTCTTAAGAGTTTAGAGGTATGAAACAATGCTACCTGTCCCCACTGAATTGAGAGGTTATTCTCAAGGATAAATCACGGCAACCACAAAGGGAAAGTACGCCAAGGGAAAGCGTCACTTTGTTTGCTGATGTCCTATCCACCTCCTATCGGTGCACAGCAGTGCAGACGGAACTACAGACGGGAAAGGCGAGCCAGACGTAGAGGTGTGGAGATAACCCATCCACAGACAGTGCGGCGCGTGAGGAGGGAAGAGTGTGAGGGAGGCAGGAGAGTCAGAGCACGAATCCTCAGGAGCTTCTGCAGGGAGCATGTACAACTCCGAGGAAGCAAGGTGATTTCCCCTGCATACTTCCTTAATCTGGGTTCTTACTATAGCACAGATCATGTCTTCACTTTTTACAAGCCAGCACTCAGTGACACTCAGGGGCAGGTAGCCTGGGTGGAATATAAGGGACAGAAAGAGGGCCGCTTGGAGCCAGCTGATTATGGACTGAACCCTACAAACTGTGAGCCAAATAAACCTTTCCACCTTCTGCTGTAGGTGTTGGGTATTTTGTCTTAACAATGTGGAAAGTAACCAAGACAATCACCTCTACCACTTCAGACTGTTTCATGTTCTAGCTCCATAGAACCAAAGGCGGAAGTGCTGAATGGCCCTGGTTCTGGTCCAAGGCTCTGAAGAACATCACACAGATGGAACCAAAGGATGACACCCATCCCACAGCACGGCTGGAGTGAAGTTTAATGAGAAAGGGAAAGGAATCACCGTCTACAGCCACACCGCCCTGAACGCGCCCGATCTCGTCTGATCTCGGAAGCTAAGCAGGGTCAGGTCTGGTTAGTACTTGGATGGGAAAGGAATCACCTCCTTTGTATTATATTTCCAAAACAGGAATTTGCTGAGAAACATCTAGAATAAATTATTAACAGCTTAAAGTGAACGCACATAAACAAATTTCACTGGCTTCTTAAAAAGTGAAAATAATACACAAGACAGCTATGATAATTGTACCACTAATTTCTATTGGTTTACTGAAAGGAACAGTTAATGCCTAACTGCTTGATCAACTTTGCCTGCCTATACCTGGTAATCTGAGCAACTACTTTGCAGATAACAATATGAAATATAACAACCATTGTTGATTCTCTATGATCTTGTTTTGAAATTCTGTGTCATTTTTATTGTTTTTAAAATTCTTTTTAAAATAGAAAATGTGAGAACAATAATAATGATAACAAATACTAAGTAGTGACAGGTGGTCCTCCAAGGGCTTTACAAAGAAATTCACGCAGAGATACGAATTGAATTTCCAAGGTTTTACTTGACTAGTAGTATGTGGTAGAGCTAGGATTTCTACTGGCCCACTTTGAAGATGACATCTAAAATAGACTTCTTAGAGATCTCTTTTATGACTGGTAGAAGTTTGCAGAGGAGAAATGTTCATACTAACTTTACCCTAGATACCTGGTGTTTAATCTAAGTGAATGAAAACGTGTGGCATAGCATATGATAAAGTTGCAAATTCAATAAACGATGTCAGCAAAACTGAGTACCTGGATTAATTCTATGCGAAAGCTCTGTTTTCAAGGACAAAGTACTTGCTCTCTTGTATGCACCTTTCTGTCTGTCCCCCTCTTCCTCCCTCTCCGTATCTCTCTCCCTCTGTACATATGTGTATATCACAGTTTCTCTATATTATATTTAGTTAATCATCACTCTATACTTTAAAGTTCTTTTACTTTGCATGACAAAGTTTTCAAAACTGTAGAATGACTATTCATCAAGTACTTTTTTCTTTTTGGACGCAGGGTCTCGCTATGCAGTACAGGCTGGTCTTGAGCTCACTTTGTAGCCCAGGCTGGTCTCAAACTCGCAACGATCCTCCTGCCTCTGCCTCCCGAGTGCTACAGGCGTGCGCCACCATACCCGGCTCTCATCAAGTACTTTTTAAACACATTTAGTAAGCAAGTGCTATTTAAGATCATGATGGAAGTAAATAGCTTTGCACATGAGAAATAATTATAAAGAAAGACTGGAATACAACGTAACACATAAAGGGTGTTATGAATATAAACAGCCTAAGTAAAACTAAGCATGGAAAATATATTAGCTACCAATACAGAACAGCCCCCTCCACTTACCTGCCAGGTAGAGTGCAAATGATATAAATCTATGATAGCGAATGAGGAACTGAAGTTGTTCTTCTCTCTGAACAAATGTAGCAAAATAATCAGCAACAGTCTCTCCATAGAAAAAGTAGTTCACACACAGTAGAAAGTACCTAGAATTTACAAACAGTTAGCTCTTTTCATATCGGAGACGTTCCCCCTCAAACTCAACAGATGATTGGTGACGGTGATTTAAAGATCAAAACCGGCTCTTTGCACTGACGGTCCACAGCAGTGCAGCGCACCCCGCTATCCTGGTCAAGCTCTTAATAGCTGTGAATTACACCTGAAAGTTTTTTTTAAAGATTTAAACATTTAAATGTTAAAATCATTCAATGATTTTTCCCTGAGTTTACATGCATTTGCATACACCAAATATTTTGTGTTCTCATGTCAACTGAGAGGGAATAAAGCAAAAGATCACAAGTAAACTTCTGATAAATTATGTTTTTTTGTTTTGTTTTTTGTCTTTTTGAGACAGGGTCTTGCTATGCAGTTCAGACTGGCCTTGAGCTCACTTTGTAGCCCAGGCTGGTCTCAAACTCACAACGATCCTCCTGCTCAGCCTCCTGAGCACTGGGATTACAGGCGTGTGCCACCACGCCCGGCCTCTTCTGATAAATTATGATCATGAAGTATTAAAAAATGCGTCTGATACAACACTGAGTTTTTAAAAAGAAAAATGATTTTTAGCTATCTTTAAAGACTGAAGAGTTAAAAAAAAGTTGCATTAAAGAGTATTAAAGGTGATTTTCTTCTTTTCAAAATCTCTATTATATTCTTTTCACTTATCTTTCATCTAAATCAATCTATAGTGGAAGCTGACTGACTATCTGCCGATCAGGGTGCTTCTTCAATGAGCTTTAGAAATGAATCAGAGCTCACATCTGAACATTTTCCCGTTCACTCACCAACTGAGTGTTCTGAACCATGGAAGCTCGTACGAATGGTAGACTCTGTACCCGATCGTGATGATTTCGTGGAAGCACTTCACCTGGATGCCCAGAACCTGGAACCAAGAGAAGACATTGACCCGTATTTCTTAATGTTTCCCTTTGTGCCTAATCATTTAAAAACAGTTTATCCTATGTACCTTAGAAACCAATTTTTAATTATTCTAAAAGAGCAAAAATGCAATATTCAATGTCTCGAAAATCAAGTGATGATGCTCTAAAAGGGCAAGAAGATATTTCATTCAAAAAGCTCCGGGAGGCTCTTTGCAAGGTAGGAGGCAGCCCTGGAGTTAAACGTTCAAGAGATACAGTCTGGTTGGTCAGGTGACTACACCTCATCCATCACTACTGGATCAGAGTCTTGTGGTCTAATTTTTCCACTTCTGTCTCTTGAGTTACCTGAGAAAGTGATGACACATGGAAGTTTCCCTGTATAGACTTCCCTGCAGCCATACACGCTGTAGACAAAGGTTAAAGACACCATCAGGAGACAGGTAAAACAGCATCTACCCAGTCACCAAGGGTGGGAATGGTCTTTTCTTTCTCATAGCTGAACCAAGTATCCCCTACCAATGACAGCTCTGGCCAAGCTGAACAATGCAACCATGGGAATAAGCTGTCTTCCACGTGTGCAGATGCGGGCCAGTTGGGGGAGCTTACGAACCTATGTTTGCACAGGATTCTGAATCCACACCTGTCTGATGATGGTATCTTTAACAGTCCTTCCAAGTGCTGCACCTACTGATCTGGTAAAGGTCCCTCTTCAGGTGTAGCATCTTACTGGGTGCTTAGTTTAAGTTAATTCCAAGACCTAAAGCACACATGGTGAACTGAATCCTTTGTGCCTCAGCTCAGAGGTTAGGATCTGAGTGGATCAGGAGACCCTTCACCTCTGGAGAACACACCAGGAGCTCTCGTTTGTACAGCCCTTGGGCTAAGAATAGGTTTTTTTTTTTTTATCATTTTAAGAATAAAAAATTATGTGACGAACCATAATGTCTGAGTGAAAGTGTTACTATCTGATCCTTTATAGAAAAAGTCTACCAACTTCAGTCTGAGGACACACTTTGCAGTTTCTTTTAAGATTTCCACAAATCACCTTTCCAAATCTTACCATGTATGATATTTTTACGTTTCCTCATTATACTGACTACATGTCCACACATGTACTTAAAAAGTAAATGTGTTCCCCCTCAGCTACATGATACTACGTTTCTGTAAAGAGTACTTTAGGAAAAAGTCCTAAGTATGTCATAAAGGCAAGAGGATATTTAAATGTCGCTCTTCAAATAACCTTTGTGTATAACATCAAAATTCACTTTAAAAAAAATGATCAGGAGGACAATGCTGTGTGTTCAGATAAAACGGCAAAGACACACCGTTTAGAGACCCAAAGAGCCCTTAAAATATCAGATGCACAGATGTAATCTCCACGAGCACCCTTGCGTGAGCACAACCATCAGCATCATACATAGTCTTATTGAGGTGAGGAAGAAAGTGCTTTTAATAGCACACACATATTTGTATGACCACCAATTATAACTTGCAAGGAAAATTAGTATAAAACTGGGAAAAGAGGGAATTCGAAGAACTAGAGTTAAATTCCTTAAAATATATGTGTATTATCCAGGGCGGGGTGATGGATGGCACCGAAACTGTCACTCCGTGTTGTCCACCCTGGCAACCAGTGTACTTTGTAGAACCCCGCCGACGCAGTTAATGCCTTGAGAGCCTTAATAAACAATCAGCACTGCACTGCAGACGCCACTGGCTCCTGAGGAGCCGCAGAGACAGCCTGGGGCATCTGTGTCTAGCGGGAGGAACCACACCGTGGAAGAGCCGAGTGGTGATGCCTGGACGCACACCTGTGGCCAGGGTAGAGTGGGAGCCCTGGGCCCTGGGAGGAGGTGCGCAGGTTGCCTCTGCATGCGGATCTGACACAGCAGAGGGCGGTAGCTCCGAGTTTCTGGAACACACAGTGGGGTGGGGAGAGCTCTGGGTCTGGTTGGCAAAGGCAGGAAACAGCATGGAGGGCAGCTCAAGGGAGGGCCCAGGAACGAAGGTGGTGAGAACAGAGACAGTAATGCAGGCAGGCAACATGACATGGTGCCACTGAGAATGGGCCAGCAACCAACCAGGATGGGTTGGGGTGAAGGACAAGGTTCAAAGAGTGATCAAAACGTATGGTAAATATGTACATTTATTTCTGTTGTCGTCTTTTTGAGACAGGGTCTCGCTATGCAGTGCAGGCTGACCTTGAGCTCACTTTGTAGCCCAGGCTGGTCTCAAACTTTGTAACGATCCTCCTGCCTCAGCCTCCTGAGGGCTGGGATTACAGACATGCGCCACCACGCCCGGCTTGAATCTGTACATTTCAAAGCATTATTATTGTACAGGACACATGGCCAGGATGCCCCCTCAGAGCCCTCCGCCTCACTTCCCACGTTCATCTCGCCGTTCCTGCCACCCTCCGAAGCACTGCTAGACGTCCTCTTTCATGAGTGTCTGCACAGAGTCTGAGCAAAAACACAGTGAATGCTGTTGCCCAGTGCCAGCCAGGGGGAAAGGAAAAGTCATAGAAATATTCCGCTTGTCCTCGTCCACCTTATTCACTTTTATTCTCCCCAAGTCAAAGAAGTGTGAAGGGGAACCATTTTGAATCAATTCAGGACGCGGAGACAGACATAACAGTACAAGTGGAAACACTCAAGAGTATTTCCCTGTTTATCAACAGCACATTGTATTTACACCGCTGGGGGGGGAGGGTGTGCGGTGGAACTGACTGGATTTGGTGCAGAGGAAAAGGTGTGGCCAGGTATTCAGGGACTGAAGGGAACAGACCATACCGCCAAGCAAGGCTTAAGAGAGCATACAGATGGAGGCAGGACGGCTGGGGTGGGATCCACATTAAGATTGGGACATTCTTAGGCGTGGTGGCGCATGTTTGTAATTCCAGCACTTAGGAGGCTGAGGCAGGAGGATCCTTGGGAGTTCGAGATCAGCCTGGGCTACAAAGTGAGTTCAAGGCCAGGCTGAACTGCAGAGTGAGACTCTGTCTCAAAAAGACCATAAAAAAAAAAGATTGTGACATTCTGAGTATAAATGACAGTGGCTCCGGATTATCCAAATACAAGCGCCAATTTTCACTTTGAGAATCTTTCTAAGAAACTAATCTTGAGCCGGGCAGGGATGTAGCTCAATGTAAAGGCCCTGGGTTCAATCCCCAGTACTGCTGAGCGTGGTGGCGCATACCTGTAATCCCAGCACTCAGGAGGCTGAGGCAGGAGGATCGTTGTGAGTTCGAGACCAGCCTGGGCTACAAAGTGAGTTCAAGGCCAGCCTGAACTGCACAGTGAGATCCTGTCTCAAAACAAAAAATAAAAAAAATAAAAAAATAAAAAAAAATCCCCAGTACCAAGAACTTTAAAAATCTTTTAAAGTATTTGTTTTCAAAAATAATCAATATATAGTGCTCTTTCAACCCTCACAATGGAAGAAAACCAGGTTGATTGAAAATAAATTACATAATATGAGTAACTTTATAGTAGTTTCCAAAAAGATGGGGGAGACCCTCTTACAATACTTTTTATGTGCTCACATCTGCCCTTAAATCAAAATGTGCTCTAATAACTACATCACTTAGTGTTCTTAGCTGGGAACACAACAGCTGAGGAAGGGTCACTGAGCAAGGAAGACGCTCTTCTTAGAGTTCTAGCTGAGGGCAGCTATTGTTCTCTAGAAGGTTTTCGTGGCACTATCATGAATTAGCTATTAGTGAGTGCTGACATTATAAAGCAAATGCAAGCTTGGTGTAATATGTTCTTCTCAACATACAAATGGTCAAGTTATTGCTATGAATAGAAAAAAAGACTTTGAAACACATAAAGACAGTACGAGTTGAGTACCAACTTCATACACCACCCCTACTCCCTTAACATACATGTCACATAAAATAATACAAGTATGCACATATTATGGGCAATAAATTTAAGTAATCAGTAACAGTGCAAGTATTACCTAGACCTTTAACATTCTTTCTTCTCTGATTAAACTAATGCTTAAAATTTGTTATGTTCTGATCAAGTTTGCATGCTAACATCTGGTAATCTGAGCAACTGATTTGAAGGTAACAATATGCAATGGAATTACCATGGTGAATTCCTACCATCTTGTCTAGTGAAACTCTGTATTACCTGTATTAAAACTATGTATTTAAACTCTGTATTAAAGCTATGTTTTATCTAATAATTGTTTTCTTACTTAGTAACTGTATTAAAACTATATATTTAAACTCTGTATTAAAACTATGTTTCATCTAATAATTATTTTCTTACTCTCTTTAATGGTTTGAACAATCTTCCACTCTTACATCTGGTAATCTGAGCAACATAGTTGAGGACAGCGATATGTAACGTAACAACCACTGTTAATGCGTATTATTTTGTCCTGAGATGCTGTATCAGTTTAAATGTTCTTGCTTTGGTTTGTTTCTGTTTGTGATACTGGTATGCTGCTATTGTTCTATTTTTTTGTTTGTTTCTCATTTATTACTCTCTTTAAAATTAAAAAAAAACTCACCAAAGTAAATACCTTATAATAATAGTGTATTTTCCTTTCATAGTACAAAAAAGTTTTTGAAAATCAAGTACACTAAGTAGTTGTAGGCCTGTCTCTTAAAGTATTAAAATCTGAATACGCCTGAGTGTCTTCTAAGTTGCTCTGAATCTCGTCATGAAAGAGTGCCAAAAATCGGTCTTTAGCCATGAGGCCATGCCCTGGTCACCATGTCTAACATGCAGTGTGGGGACGGCGTGATCTCCTCCCAGCCAGTGCACCACGGCAGACCACGCCAAAGCACCAAAGGCACTCTCACTTTGTGTCACTTAGGTCAGAATCTCCTTCCGACAGGAAACGACTCAGATGACCTCCAATATTTTCAATGGCTCCTCAGTGCTTTCCAAATAAAAGCCAAACTTGCCCACAGTTGTTTCAAGGCCAGGCAGAATCGGGTCCCGATGTGCTTTTCCAGGTTGAAGGCCTGTGCGCCTTTCTCGGAGGGACTGGCTGCTGGGACCCTGCCTGTGGTGACCCTCACTCGCCCTGACAGACTCGGAGCTCTGCCAACACGGCCTGGCGCCTCCTTCCCCAGGCAGCTCACGGTCACACAGCCCCCAAAGGGCTCTGCGTGCAGCTTCTGATGCATCCGCGACTCCAGGCCTGTGGGGGTGGCTGGGGCCTGGCAGGTGCAGGTCTGAGAGGTGTGGGTGCTGAGGGCCCGGCCCGGCGCCTGGCTGTCCCTCCGTGTCCTCTGCCCGCCCGCGCTCTGTCTTATGGATGTCCACCTTCCTTTTTCAGAAAAAGTGCTTTAAGGTATCAGCAAGTGGACCAAACAATGAAGTAATTTCTTACTCACTTTCATGGCCTGGATATCCCCAAGAAGTTCAGGAGATGAAAATGCAAGTGAAAGAGGCTTTGGGGCACCTGAAAGAGCCACTTTACATGGTTTCGTGAAGCAACCACCTTTGTGTTGGGTCTAATTTTGCTTCACAACTTCTTTTTATGGACTAAGCAGGAAACCTTGTACACCGCCCGTAAGCTGGCCTGCTCCCAACAGGACTGGGTACAGAACGGGGATGACGAGGGGAGAGGGCTCATTTCTCAGGTGGGAAGCACAGTTGGAGAGCCAGGAGGCCGGACTGAGAGAGGGTGAGGATAACAGCAGAGGCCAGCTCGGCAGCCCGGCCAGTGTGCAGGGCGCCACGGCAGCAGGCTGAGGCGGGGGAAGCAGACGGTTTCGCCACCTTGCAGCTCGGCGTCAGGTGGTAATAACAGCACAGCGAGGGGCTTGGTACACACCCCAGATCACGTGCCGCGATTCCTGGTACACCTCGCTCGGCACCTGGAGGTGCCTGATGCCTTTGCTGAGCTGCGCGTGCCTGGCTCCTGGCCCCCGGCTCTGTCACTGCAGCCCACGCAGGAGGTGGAGCCCAGGTCTGTGGGGATCCTTCCTTTCCCGGGCTCCCCCCCTGCCTGGCCCCTGATGGACCTCACACTGCAGGGGAGGCGCTCAGCAACGCGCACGCGCTCTGGGAGGCCTGCCGCCTTCCTCCGCGACCACGGACCCAGGCGTTATCCCGGATATGCGCTGCAGTTTCCGTCTCTCCAGCCACTGCAGTGCAGACAGCAAACTCCACAAGGACACAGGCAGGCCGCTCCCCTGGCACCCGCAGCACATCCCAGGGGTGGGGCGCGGCCTACCACGCAGCAGGCAGGCTGTAAACTGACTTGCTGGGCTTTCCAGTAAGGACAAGAACCCAGGCGCTCAGGGTGGCTTCTCTGCTCCTCTTTCCTCAGCCCCCACCTGCCTCCACGGACCACGGCCTCTCACGATCCCCCTCACTGCCCGGTGGTCTGCCTTGCATGCCTTCTCCGCCTCAGCCTCCGAGCTCAGCGTAGGCATCACCTTCAGAAGCTGTTCCTCGCCCTCCCTCAGAGTGGCCTGCATGCAGCACGCTCTGTCACGGGACTTTCCCTCCTTGTTCCCCACACTGCTGGTCACCTGCTCACGTGACTGTCTTCACTCTGCTGTGCTCTGCTCCAAGTCAGAGATCTGGCTACCGTGACATACCTGATGAGGCTGTGCGTGTGTTTCTGTAACTCTGGATGCTGAGCACACTTTATCATGCACACTTGGTCTCTGCTGAAGGGACACTGCATGGATGAGCCCACATCATGCGTAAAGGAACGGAGTCTGCTGTCACCAGCTACTGAGCGCCTTTCTCATGATGCGCTCAATTCTTTTCAGTCACGTAAACACGGAGAAACCAGGCAGAGGCCATGGAAGGAGAACGAGCTACTCACCAGCAGCATCAGCATGAAGGAGCCCATGTAGATGGTCAGGAAGAACAGTGAGATCATAGTCAGGGTGAGGATCCCCCGGATCCACCAGTTTTTCCACCTGCAATGAAGATATTCGGAACATTAGGGTTGCATGGGATCCGGGAGCTTTCTGTGGGGTTTCACTATTGAGTTGCCAGCCGAAAGAGCTGCTTCCACTGGCAGTGCCTTCCTTCACTTTATATAACCACAAAAACAAACAAGAACAAGCAGCAGTGCAGCTGCTCACTGAGAGCAAAATTAAATTGCTATACAAGGCAAGGAAAGCGAGTGATTTGGACTAAACGGCAACAGGGCTCCGTGCTGAGCTGGCAGGCGAGGTGGCCCTGCATGTGGGAGCCACACCCCCCATAGGGTCATGGAATGGAGCGTAAACCCCGGCAAAAGCCCCAGGGAAAGCACATGAAGTTTACATTTGTCTTGGGGAATAAAGGTTAGCATTTGACTCAATAAAAATCATAAAAATCTTGAAAAACAGCAGCAATCTTAGGATCAGAAATCATCGGTATATAGTTGCATTCAGAATTTTTTTCTTTCTTAAAATGGAAGCAAAGCTTTTGTAAATGGGGAGGGGAGGAGGGTTTCAGTAGAGGATAGGGTAATGGGAAAAAAGGATCAAGTGATATCAAGTGCAGGTATGAATTCTCTCGGATGAATGTGATCATTATATTTAAAATGTTCCAATAAAATCTGATTGGAAAAGAAAAGTATTTCTTTTCTTGGTGGGAGATTTTTTTTTGTTTTGTTTTTTTGTTTTATTTGTTTATTTTTGGTACCAGGGAATCGAACTCAGGACCTGACGCTTGCCAGGCAGGGGCTGCACCACTGAGCTAAATCCCCAGCCCCAGGACTGGGTTTTATGGTGTTGCCCAAACTTTCCAGGTTTTTCCCTGGTGCTTCAGGACATGAGATGAAGACAGGATTTCAAAGGAGGTACAGGGAGCATAGCCCAACTTTGAGAAAAAATTATGAAAGAAAAACATAGCACTGCTGCTGGACGCACAGTGAGTGTGGTGAGCGCAGGAGGAGTGTCCGGGCAGGAGGAGTGTCCAGGCACACGGGACAGTCAGTGGCTCGGTCAGCAAAGCGCGCTTCCTCTGCTGCTCAAAGAGCGCTACCTGCGCATTCTCCTTAAGGCCAGAGCTCCGAGGAGAAAGAAAAGCACACTCCTGTCCTGGCCCCTTCCTTGCTGCAGGGCACAGCCTCCCCCGGCAATCCCAGAGAACCCCGTTTCATCCCCACGTTTCCTATCGAAAGCATCATCCTATGTGACCGCATCCAGTAAGTGTTGGCAGCCACTGTATGAAAAAACCCGGATCGATTCCCACTTTTGGGTGATGACTTCCACAATCATCTGTGGTTTTTAAAGCCAGGCATAGGGGCTGGGGATTTAGCTCAGCGGCACTGCGCCTGCCTGGCAAGCGCAAGGTCGTGAGTTCAATTCCCAGTACTGGGAAAAAAAAAAAAAAAAAAGCCAGGCATACCGGTGTGTGCATCATCTGAGCTCAGGAGTGCAAGGCCAGCTTGGGCAGCCCCATAAAACCCAGTCCTGGGGCCAGGGATTTAGCTCAGTGGCACAGCACTTGCCTGGCGTCAGGTCCTGAGTTCAATTTCTGGTACCAAAAATAAACAAACAAACAAAACAAACAAAAAAACCCAACCCAGTCCTCCCACCAAGCAATTTTTTTCTAATCAGATTTTATTGAAACATTTTAGATATAATGATCACACTCATCCGAGAGAATTCATACCTGCACTTGATATAACTTGATCCTTTTTTCCCATCACCCTATCCTCTAGTGAAACCCTCCTCCCCTCCCCATTTATGAAAGCTTTGTTTCCATTTTAAGAAAGAAAAAAATTCTGAATACAACTATATACTGATGACTTCTGATCCTAAGATTGCTGCTGTTCTTCAAGATTTTTATGATTTTTATTGAGTCAAATACTAATCTTTATTCCCCAAGACAATTGTAAACTTCAGGTACTTCAAACATGCGGTAATAAAAAAAAAAGTATATAAATAAATTATGGCCAGGCATGGTGGCACACGCCTGTAATCCCAGCACTGAGGAGGCTGAGGCAGGAGGATCACTGTGAGTTTGAGGCTAGCCTGGGCTACAAAGGGAGCTCAAGGCCAGCCTAAACTGCACAGTGAGACCGTCTCAAAAAAAAAAAGACAAAACAAAAAAATTATGTTCTTCCTATCCATGAGCAAGAGATGTCTCTTCAATCTCCTTTGTCAGTGAACTGTAATTTTCAATGTATAGATCTTTTACTTTCTTTGTTACATGGATTCCTAAGTATTTAAATTTTTTTGGATGCTATTGTGAAGGGTATGGTTTCCCTAATTTCTCTTTCAGTGTATTTGTTTGTGTACAGGAAAGCTATTGCTTTCTGAGTGCTGACTTTGTATCCAGCTATACTACTGAATTTGGTTCAGTCTACAAGTATTCTGGTGGAGTTTTAGAGGTCCTCTATGTAGAGTATCATATCATCTGCAAATAATGATAATTTAACTTATTCCTTTCACAGATAGGAAGAACCACCATGGTTAAATAGCCATACTCTCAAAACTATTATACAAATTTAATGCAATTCCAATCAAAATACCATTAGCATACCTCACAGAACTAGAGAAAACATTCCTAAAATTCATTTGGAACCAGAAGAGACCTTGAATAGCAAAGGCAGTCCTAGTCAACAAACACAAGGTAGGAGGCATCACAATCCCTGACTTGAAATTATACTACAAAGCCACTATGATAAAATCAGCATGGTGCTGGCAAAAAAAAAAAAAAAAAAACAGACCTGAGGGTCAATGAAACAGATTGAAAGATGAAAGCACAACTACAAACACACTCAGCTATCTGATCTTTGACAAAGGGGCCAAACACGTTCACTGGAAGAAAGATAGCCTCTTTAATAAACGGTGCTGGAAAAGCTGGCTTTCCACATGCCCAAGACTAAAACTAGAACCATGTCTATCACTGCGCACCGAACTAAAGTCAAAATGGATCAAAGACCTAAATATTAAAACAGAAACACTAAATCTACTGGAAGAGAAAGTAGGTAGAAACTCTGAAGACATAGAGTTCATGTACAAAACCCAGACCACAAGGGGATAATTCAAAGAACCAAAAATTGGGGTTACATCTTACTAAAAAGCTTTTGCACATCAAAAGATATCACCAACAGAGTGAAAAGACAACCCACAGAGTGGGAAAAAAATTTAGCCAGTTGTCCCTCAGACAAAGAGTTCTATCTAAAACATATAAAGAATTGAAAAAATAGAGAGAGAGACAGAGAGAGAGAGAGAAAGAGAGAGAAATCAACCAATAAATGCTAGTGGGGCTGTGGGAAAAAAGGAACCCTTCTCCACGGTAGGTGGGAGTGCAGACTGGTGTAACCACTGTGGAAATCAGTGTGGAGAGTCCTCAAAAAACTAGGATTAGAAGTTCTATTCCACTCAGCTATTCCCCTTCTGAGTATCTTCCCAGAAGAATTAAGAACATCAGACCACAGTGAGATATGTGTACTGTTAAGGTTTTTGTCTGTGTGTCCCCCCAAAGCCTCCTGCGCACATGGGCAGGCTATTAGAGTTAAATGATTGTGGGTGTGAGAGCTACACCCACCCTGGGGTGGATAGTTTGCATATGTAAGGGAAAGGAAGAGGCTGCTTGAGGCAATTCCTCTTCCATTCCGCCCTGGTGGGTGATGGTTGCTGAGCTGTGGCTGCCGTCCTGAGATGCAACCCTCTGCCACGTGTCACTCTGCCTTATAATTGCCAAGTACGGATTAAAACTTCCACGAACTGTAAGCGAAATAAACCTTTCCTTCCTTAATTTTGGGCGTCAGATATTTTGTCCCAGCAACGAGAGAAAAGTAACCAAGACATGTACCCATGTTTACAGCAGTAGCTAGGTCTTGGAAACAACCCAAATACCCATCAAACAAGGAATGGATAAAAAGGATGTGGTCTTTTTATACAATGGACTACTACTCAGCCATAAAGATAAACTTGAGACTTTTCTAGGTAAATGGATGCAACTAGAAATAAATCAGAATCACATGTGCAAACATATTATCTCCCTAGTGTGAGAAACCGAAAGAGTGAATAAGATCCAAAGTGTACAATAGATATCAAATGAGAAGAACTTGTTCAAAAGGAAAAAGGAACTACAGTGGGGGAAGGGAAAGGAAGGAGTAGAAAAAGAAAAAAGCAAAATATAAGGTAGGTATACTAATAGTTTCTCTTAGTCCATTGAAAAGAAAGGTTTGTGCTAATATCATTTGGAGAATTTTTTATGCCTATATCTTGTATTCCAAGTTACTACTCTGAAGATAACAATACTCAATGTATTAACTACTGTTACTCTATTATTTTATTATGAAATATTGTTACTTTTTCCGTAACATAAACAAAAGCGTCATACTGCAATGAAAAAAATTAATGTAGCTACTTACTAGATAAAAATGTTTTAAAAATGTTTTATTCTACCTAAAGCCACTTTAAAGTACATGTACATGCTTTATATCCTCATTCCCTTTTGCAACAAAAATTGATGATGTTATCCATTTATAAGGTAGTAGGTATATTCCTTGCTTTTAATCACTGTCATAGATGGCACACATACTGCTGTGAATAGCCCTTTTATCATGTCATTTCTGCACTCAAGAATCCAAAATGCCAACAACCTGAGTCCACACTTTGTCTAGTTCCCAAGGCTTTTCAGATTCACTTCCCTCTGTTTCACAAACTATGCAGACTCATGCCTTTCTCGTGTGACTGTAAGCTTTGTGGCTAAAGAAGAAAATGAGCATAGAATAAACTCTGCTATAGCTCAAGGGTCCATTTACTTTTACAGACAGAACTGTGCGTGGATTAATGAGTGGATTAGGAAACTGGGCTAAGTCTCAAAGGTAGGCAGAGTAAATAAAGGACCTTAAGCCAGCCGTAGATAATACTGTCCTGTCTGCATGAAGCCCAGATGCCTATCAGCTCTTCCTTATGACTGACTCTGGGGCGTGGAATCAGTGAGAGCCTCTTCCAGGGAAGAG